ACAGGCTTAGCTGCAGCACAGAGGTGTATGGAAGGTGTATGGGCCAGGGGGGATGCTCCTTACCTTCATTTGCAGTGGGGTATCAGGCCCAGATCCCAGATGTCTAACTGTGTGCTGTGAAAGCACCTGGAGTTCAGGTAATGAGCAAAACCCTCTCCTGCAGTGTGTAGAATTCAGGGAGTTCTTCAGGACTATAGTTAGTGCTAAAGATTTTCTGTGCAACAGATGTTTAATTTGGAAGGTTTTTTTGGCAAAACATCTATGACACATCCAGCCATTAACTGAACCCCATGGGTCCATTCCATCTGATGTCCCTGATCGTGGGCACCTCTCTCATGCTGTGTTCCTCCAACCACCTGGATTGCAGGGGACTCCAGTCTCTGAGCATGAGTCCACAGGAGCCTTGTCCTATCAGGCCTGAGAAGCTGCTGGCCAGCCAGCAAACAGACCAAGTCCCCTTGGCCACAAGTGGCCTGCCAGGAGCTGGCTGCAGCTAGAGGACAACAGACAGGCATTTTCCTTGCGGCTGGTCCAGGGCCAGATGCCACTCAGTGGTCCAGGGCTCCAAAGGGTCCAAATTGCAGCACTCTAATACTAGAATTACCTGGAAGGGCAAGTTGATCAAAGCAACACAAACCTGAGGAGGTGACAACAAAACAGGGGTCATTTTATTGTCAGGCAGTCAAGGAGTTCCTCTGATGCTGCAGTCACATCCCAAAGGAACAGCAGCAGCAGTGTGTGATAAGGTGACTGCAATCAGAGAACCTGAACTCCAGAGTCCTCCCTCTGATGCTCAGAGCCCACAGAGAGCAGCCCAGGAGGCCATCCTCTTCTGGAAGGATCCTCAGCCTCTTGGCTGTTAGCATGGTGACAGTTCCACATGCTTGCAGTGATCTCCTGTTTGGGAACCTCACTGCACGTGCCAGTGCCAATGCCCCAGATCCACTGAAGTTCCACACCCTCTGCTCACGTTCACACGGACATCTCACCTCTATAGCCCAAATTTATGGATTGGCTTTCTCTAGCCCAAGTTCAGCATGTTCCATGTCCAAGTCCTGACCTCTGCCAGAACTCCAGCCTTATTTTCTAGCTACTGCCAGATTCTTATTGGAGCCAACCTGCTAGGCAGGGTGCTCTGGACTCCCAGGTTTAGCATATGAATATACCCCAGATACAAAAAGGGGACTCACACTTTTACCTCACTAAAATCACTCAACAACCAACCTGTTGTATCAGGCAGAATTCCTATTTAATTTAAAAAATAAATATTCATAAACAAAAGGAGGAGATCCAGAGAACTACAATGTTCAAAATGTTCCTGCCAACAGCATAAATGTTTTTCATGTACAGTCACAAGAACAAGTTGTACACCAACACAAGCACTGGCTAAAAACCCTCTCTCGTCACCAGCTGCCCCAGTCCTCTCCTGCAGGAATCCACACCTCCCATGGCAGCAGCCAGCTTCTCTGCACTTCTCCAGGCCTTGCATTGGGGCTGCTCAGTCTCCTTTCATGATCAAGTCCTCAATATATGCATCCAGTTCATCATCTGTGTTGATATCAATGTCCTGAAACCAAAGGCATGAGAAATAACCATTGAGAAGTGAATCTTGAGCAGTGCAAGAATGGAGGAGGCACAGCATCCTCTGCAACATCTGCCCTGCTCAGCCTCTATGCCCCAACCTCCAGCACCCTCCAGCTCCTGACAGCTGCAGTGAGAGTACTCCAAACTTTCCCTGTCAGCACCTGATGCCCAAACAATGTACTCAAGTGATGGATTTACTGTGCTGATCTGGGTCAAGTTTTGGTTTGGTTGGGTATTTTTAGCTTTAACACATTTTCCTAACAGGAAAATGTAGCTTTTCCATTGGTTGGTCTTCATTTATTTAGTGTTTTAATATAAAGTTTGTTTATTTAAAGGTTTTATTAAAATATATATTTGCTATTTTAATATTTAATAGTATAATTAATAATATGAAAAAAAATCTTATGGTGAAATTGATTTAAGTATTATTTGTTTAAAGGTTTGCATTTCTATATGTAACATTCAGAATCTACCCAAGCATGGGGCAAAGATACCCTGCAGAGCACTGCCTATGCCTGGGGAAATTCTCCTGCAGCTCCACGTTCCATAGGAGAACACAGAGAACAAACAGAACCTGTGCACTATATACATGCCCTGAGAATCATTCCGTGAGAATTAACACTCCTCAGGACCCCAGGGCCTGGATCCCAAGGGTGGGCAGTGACAGCAGCTGCTTCTGATGGGCTGAGCCCCCAACTGAGGAAGAGCTGGAGCCCAGTGAGATGCTGGACAGGGTTCACCCCCTCTTCCTCACCCACCTCCTGTACTTTCTGCAGAAGGGCCATGATGTTGGTCCTCAGCTTCTGCAGTTTCTCCTCTGTGTCCCTCAGCTTCCTCTCCGAGTTGCGGAGGTTCTCCTCGCAGGCTTTGGCCCGGGCATCAGCACGTGTCTGATAGGAATTGCACAGGTTCTGCAGACCCACCTCATACTGCTTGAAATACTCTTTCTGGAGAAGACAAAACACTACAGATGACACCTTAAGAAAAGGCACCAAGAACCACCAAACTCGCTGTGCCTGTGCCCAAACCCTCCCCAGAGCACAGCCCTGCACGCTCTGCCCGTGCTCACATTTACATCTGACTTGCCTACTGCAGCCAGCATGAAACTCAGATGGGTTTTCACATCCTTCCAACACCAGAACTGCCCCCAAAGGTATCTGAATTTAGCTTAAGTGTGCAGCATGCTACAAAAAGCTCAAAAGCCATTGTGGGCTGCAGCAAGACCTGACAGCCCTTGTACACTGTGAGTGTCCTTGGCACAGATCACATACACAATGCAGTTGTCACTGCAAGGTAGGGACAGCTATACTGGCCAAAAACTTCAGGCACAACTAGGGTGTCCTGTGGAAGCAGAGGGAATGGTAACTCCAGCAGATACCCAAGTTAACTGATTGAAGAGGAGGAGACAAGAGAGAGAATGCCAACACACACACGGTGAGCACAGGAGTACCAAGCAGCACTGGCCTTGCCCATCTGCAGGTGGCTTTTGTCACAGACAGGTGCCTCCTGGCAAGGGCTCCCTTGCTAGTATGTCACAGAAGGGAAATGTCAGAGAGGCCAGCTCTGCTGCTCTGCATTCTAGCCAGCACTGGACCTCCCAGTACCAGCCCACAGACACCAGTGGAAGATCAGCCCCACCTGCTCTCTACTCAAATAAATAGAGGCCACCCAAAAGCCTTAGGATGTGCAGCTGACAGCAGGCAATCAGCTGCTCATCTGGGGAAGTGGGTTGGTTCCCATGATCTCTCCCATTTTTAAGACTGCCCCCACATGAGTTATAAGGCTGGGAGCAAAATGAACAGGAAAGTCTACATCCTGCTGCTACAAACTTTTAACATGGTCTCTCTTTTTCAACTGTGATGGGCAAGAATTGGGGATAGCAGCAGCCAACAGGATTCCTACACAGATGTATGGTAATGAGAAAACTCCTCAGACAGCTGTCACAAGATTCAGGGCACCTTTCAGAGCTCTCATTCTTTTCCTTGGCTACGTTTCTCCTCAGCCAGGGAATCCAAATCACCTTTTCAAGAGTGCTCTCTTTCATCAACAGGATGTACATTTGCCATAAGAATGGAACATGCGTAGGGAAAACCTCAACTTATTTTTCTAGCAGTACTGAACTCACCAAAGGAAATGCCAACAACCCTTCTGAGCTCATGGAACTCAGTTCGTTCTTGGAGATCGGAAAATTTGGAGGCAAGAAGTACCTCAAACAATTCCTGTGCAGGAAAGAAAAACACAAAGCCATGCGTGGGAGTTCAACAGGCTGAAGTAATCAGACTGCAGAGCTCATGAGGGCTGCAGTGCACCCACCGAAGGATCTGGACGAGCAAGTCGATGGTTTCTTGGCTGTTGCTGGGACCAGTGGTGTCTGGCTCAATTCTGACACAGTCCAAGGTAGAAGGTTCAGCCACAACCACCTCCTCTTGCTGCTGCATGTCTGGAGCCTGGTACTCGGGAGAGGGAGGCTTCATCAGCCTCACATCCTCACTGCCCTTCTCTACCCTGAGAAAAAGTATTAGCGGAATGTCAGGAATCTTTTTTTACACCGGACATACCTGAAACACTTAACAGCTTCACTCAGACCTCTAGACACACACCACTGCCTCCACAGGAGGCATCAGAGAGACTGATGGAGCCTGCCATGCATCAGAAAGTTGAGGCTGTTCAGCCTGGAGAAGAGAAGGTTGTGTGGAGACCAGAGAGCAACCTGCCAGGCGCTGAAGGGGCTGCAAGCAAGCTGCAGAGGGACTCTTGGGTAGGAACTGCAGGGATAGGACAAGGAGTAATGAGTATAAATTGAAAGGGAGGAAATTTACATTAGACCTTAGGAAAAAGCTTTTCCTGTGAGGGTGGTGAGACACTGGCACAGGTTGCCCAGGGAGGCTGTGGCTGCCCCAACCCTAGCCAGGGTGAATCAAGCCTTGAGCAACCTGGTTTGGTGGGAGGTGTCCCTGCCCAGGGCAGGGGGTTGGGACCAGATGATCTACAAGGTCCATTCCAACCCCTTAACATACTATGAAACTTAGCTATGAAACTATGCCCACTCCTTATAAAGCCACTGGACAGTCCTGAGCTCATACACTTCCTGACATGACAGCAGCACATTTGTCTTCCGCATCTATAGCAGACAAACAGGCTCTTCCTCCCAAAAGCAAAACAAAACAAAGCTACAAAACCCAGCAGTGGAGACAGTTACCAGCGATCCCTCGGTGTGGTGTCTGTGGGGACATAGTCAAACTTCACCTTCCACCGGACGGTGTGTCCGTCCTTGTCCACCGCCGTGACACGGCCCGTGAACCACTCCTTGTTCACACGCACCTCCACATGCAGCCCCTTGTCTGTGAGGACGAAGCAAAGGTGTCTGCAAACATTCAGCTGCTGGAAAGCATCTTCTGCAGGAGCTCTAGCACAGTTCCATCAGCAGGGAGCACACCTGAACTTGTGACAGTAACCTCAAATGGTCCTGACACCATCAAAATACAACGGGCACATAGCTCAGCTCCTGCTGAGAAATGTTAAGATGCAAGGAAATGAGCTAGTGTTTCCAGATAGAAGGTTTCTCCTGTACTCTGGGCTGGCTGACATGGGCTTTCCAGACTCGTGCTGGCCTCTAGAACAATTTGCCACATGTCCCTAGTGTGTCATTTTCCAGACAGCTCCTTGGAAGGAAGCTAAGGAGATGCCCTTCTCTGGCGCAGCATCACCCTGGTTATTGTCTTTCCTGGGGTCTCCCAGCCCCTCTTCTCTCACAGCAGCACAGCAGGTCTGGATACAGTCCTGGGCATGTCCCAGCTGGCATAGCTCCATGATCCACTCAGGAAGGGTGAGCATGCCATCAGCTACACCCTGCAGCCCAGCCCCACTCTGTCAGCATAACACAGCCCTCAATCATGTACCTTCCCATGCCACAACTGCCTCTGGTCTAATCAACAGGTTCCTGGCCAAAATGTTTCATGCAAGTTAGAGTCATTCTGGGATTAGAGACTCCAACTTATAGTAATTCTTATTTTAAAAGTTCATTAATGAAATCCCACGTTTAAGCAGTGAGTCTAGTTCTTCAACGGTTCTTTTGCATGTCAGATACTGGCAGCAGCCCAAGGGGTCATTTCTCACCTTTCTGAGCATTCTTCAGTTCCAGCAGCTCTTCCTCTCCAGCACTGTCTGTGAGCTGGGAGCAGAGAGAGCTCACATTAGCTGCCTCCCACCAAGACTATGAACACCCAACAAACACTTTCTGCTGGGGAATCCAGCACACTCTCACCTCCACCACCACCTCATTGAAAACCTGCTCATCCCTCACTGCCACAAACTTTCCCCGTTTTGTCCTTTCCTTTCTGTGCTCCCTCTCCTCCTCAGACCCATTCTCTGGCATGTTCCAGATTCTCTTCCGAGGGCTGGAAGCCTGTAGAAAACAAACAAGCTCTAGCTGTAATTCCAGCCTGATACCAACCAAAACCTTCTTTCAGCCAAGTTAAAACAAAACAACAAAAAAACCCAACAAACCCAACATCCAGTATTTCATTTGGTAGTTAATTAGCTTTTCTGGAAGGTTTTAGAGGTGCTACATGATTATGCAAATGCTCACCCTGTCACTCCACATTCTTTTTTTTTCTGGAGAAACAATCTGGTCTAACAGGAAAGAGATGAAACAAGTCTTCTCCAGGGATGTAAATGGCACCCTAACCCAAAAATAAACTGAAAGTTTTCTCATCCTGCACAGAGCCCAGAGTGCATATCCCATGGGACAGAGCAGACAGGCTGAGCAGGATGGTGGGTGAGGAGCTGAGGGGTTTCATCCCATTGAGTCTCACCTGTAAGCATTTGCCAGAGGCAGATTTCTTTACTGCTGACACCTTTGCAGCTTTTGGACTGTGTGTCTCACGTGGGCTTTTGGAGCTCTGCAGGCCAGCAGAGAGGAACTTTGTGGTTGTACCTGATTTGGTAAGAGTTTTTAAAATGTTGTTAGACCTCCCAGCTGTCACAGTGTGCTGATGTGTCCTGGAAGTGCTGGCCTCCTCCTCGGAGAGCGTGCTGGCCAGCTTAGCAGAGCTGGTATTTGGACGATCTGACAAGTTCTTTTTCAGCTGACTGCTGGACTTGGGAAGAGGTGAAGATCCAGGTGGTCTGCTGGGAGCATTCCTGATGACATCAGGCAAAGGAGGAGACCGTGGACGTAGAGGTCGAGGGTGCTGAAATAAATGTGGGTACAGAGAGAGGAAGGTTGGCAGAGTGGGGAACTGCTGTTCAGAGCAGCTAAGGAAGCACAGGAGAGTAAAAGCCTACAGTAGTATCCCACTTACTTCCCCCAAAGGCCGAGTGGTCACTTCCAGAGGCAGTTTCTTTAAGTCAGCTTGAGATCGAATTGGAGTGGTTTTCTATTAAAACAAAACAAAAATAATCAGAAAAGTCATCTTTATAAGCTGTCAGAAGCTGCCTGAACCCAGCCCAGCAGTTTTCCAAGTTAAAAACAGCCATTATAAGACGTGTTTCGTGTCCTTCATGAAACATGCCTTCAGCTGTCATTCCCATTTTCCCAACAGAAAATTAGATGCAAGCTGAGCTGCTTCTTTTCTGCTATTACAACAATCCCTGCCCCATGAAGGAGCACAGGTGGTATCAGACTTAGCAGCAGCATTTGCACTAGGAGGTCCCTCAAAGCTGCTGTGCTTAGCTGGAGCCCTCCAGACTCACCTGCAGAGCATCCAGCTTTTCCTGCTGCTGGCGGATTTTCTCTGTCAGTTGTTTCTGTTTTTCCTCATGCGATTTCAAGTCTTTTTTCAGAGTTCCCAGTGGTACTTTCTGCTTCTGCTCTGCAGCCTCACATCTGGCATGGAGGGAATGCAAGACAACCTCAGCAAGGACAGCAGAACCTGTGCCATTTCACACAGATCAGCCCCCACATCCCATCCCAAATGCAACAGGAAAACTGCTTTCCTTTCTGCAGTAGCCACAGTCTCAGTGGTTTTCTTCTTGGGAAACAGGTATGATTTAAGGATCAAAAGCCAGGGGCCCAAGACCATGTCCTGGAGTATCTCCAAGGATGTAGACTGCACACCTTCCCTTGGGTAACCCTCACAGAGGAAAAGTGTTTCCTGATGTATAGAAGGACCCTCCTATGTTCAGGTTTGTGCCCATGGCCTCTGGTCCCTCCACTGGGCACCACTGGGAAGAGGCAGGCTCTGTCCTCTTTGCAGGTTTCCTTCAGGTATTTAGATGTATTAATGAGAGTCCCTGAGCCTGCTCAGCACTGGGCTGGACAGCATACACCAGTGCCAGGGTTGTTCCTCCCCAGGGGCAGGACTTTGTGTTGCCCTGGCTGAACCTCAGGAGGTTCTTGCTAGCCTACTTCTCCAGCCTGTGCAGGTCCCTCTGTGGGATGGACCTGGGATCCCCTGGTCTGTCAGCTGCTCCTCCTCTCCAGTTTGGTGTCAGCTCACTTGCTGAGGGTGTCCTCTGCAATTTGCCCTTCACACAAATACCCACCAAGGTGTCACCTCCCCACACTCACATCATCATTGCTGTTTCACAAACTGCGAGCACAGCTTAAAAGTACAGAATTACTGCCCATCCCTACAGCTGATCTCAAAGAAGAGCTGACCAGAAAAAAAGCTCTAAACACGCAGATGAGACATGCTACAGAAAAGTCTGTATATTAACTGATTCCTACCTGTTTTGTTCAGGGTCAGGGTTCATGGCACACACCCAGCTATCAGGGTAGTTCTTCTCCACTGAGCTCAGCTGGAATGGGAGAGTCCTCCACTTCAGACACACATCTGTCAGACAGACACTTTGCAAGTCAGAAACATGCAGCCTGAGCCACAGCATCACTTTTTCCACAGCCCCTTTAAGGCCCAAGGACCACATCAAAGTGATTCCAATGACTGTAAGACTGGTGGCCAAAACCAAAGTGAGACAGTGACAGGATATACTGAGTCAATTCTTGCTTCTTGCTCACAAAATGCTTGGAGGAAACCCTTAAAGACATCCCTCACAAGAATGTGATGACACCTGGCATCAACCAATACCAGAGGACCTTGTACTCCTGCTGCCAACGACGACACATACAAACCAAACTGAGCAGCCAGTCCTGACATCACTGCTCAGCTCACCAGTCAGGCTGTCTCCTACTGATACCAACACAAGTCAGAGACTTATCTACTAAAAAGTTATAATAATCTAATTTTCAATGAACCAGGAGCACAGATTTGGCTTCCAGAGCACTGCTGGCCTACCAGGAAACCAACAGCTGAACAAAATCAAGTTTTGCCATGAAAATACAAATGTCCTCAGATCACGTTCTGGAAGGATGTCAAATAGGGAGGACCAGAAGAATGAGAGGAAAACCTCTCCTCTTTGGGAGGAACTTTGAAAGGACTGAGAAAATTGTCAAGGCAGGAGAGCCCAACAAAGTAATTCCACAAGAATGGCCTCCCATTCCTTTGTACATCCTCATCCACAAGTCCCTGGGAGAAAATAAGGGAGTTTGGTATCCCTCTACAAGGAGACAAAGTGATTGTATTGAGATTCCCCTTAACCCAGTAAAGGCTTAGCCAGAGCTGTTTAGATATGCACAGAGGAAAATCTGTATTAAATTCCAAGATAACTGTAAAAAGTTCCCTCTGTGCTCACACCCAGGCCAGTGTGGATTACCTGGTTACTTCCCATTGCCTACAGGGAAGTTCTGGATCTTATTCTAGTGCTGGGATGGGTGGCTTTGGCTAGTTCCAGTTCATATGACACGTGATCCCACTTTCAACACTGCTATTGGCCACACCTGCCCTGCTTTGTCAGGGTGCCTGAAGAACACCAGTTAGTGAACCGCAGGAATGGAGCCTTATACCAGGACATGCCTTCGAGTGCAGCAAAGGCAACTTGCAGTGGAGACAGGGGATACTGATAGTGAAGCCCACCCCAAATCTACCCATTTAGCTGCTCCCCAGCTGTAGCCAGGAGTGCCCCCACTCCCCCAGGGAAGAGCAGACGTGTCGGACGCACCGCACTGAATCGTGGTGGGGATCTCCATGGCTCTGCGGCGCTTGTAGCGCAGTTCACTAGATGGAGGCTGGTTCCAGTTTGCTGATAAGTAACCAAATTCATCCCAGAACTTGACAATACCTCTCTGGGCTGGAAAACAAACCAGATCCTGCTTAGTATGGAGCCATTACCACGAAAACCACTACCTGCACTCTCAGCTGTCCTCCAGCCACCCAAGTCTCCCCTTCCAGCTCCTGGTAATGGTGAAGCTTCATTACCTATAGCAACATCCTTCCAGTACTGAGCCAAATGATCTCCCATGGCCTTCAGCAACTGTCGATACTCCTTGGCATCAGCGAAGTCTTGTTTATTATGGGTCGGCTCCAGAACCAAATAGGGCACATCCACCACGCCTACCACTCCTCCACATGCCCTGGAAGAGGGGGACACAGTCACAAACACTAAACCACCAGGTTTGCATCCTGAGCAAAAAGTAAGGCGGGCTCAAATATTTGTATTTGCTGTCTACCTATTTTCCCTGTCCCTAGAATGAAGCACTATTGCTACCAGCACTCATCAGCCCCAAGTGCCAGCATTGAGAACGAGCACTTCATACTGCTGCAGGGATGACCAACATCAACATGAGCTGCAGTGTGTACTCACAGCTCAGAAACCAAGTGTGACCTGGGCTGCATCCAAAGGAGTGTGGGCAGCAGGTCAAAGGGGATTCTCCCCCTTTACTCTGCTCTTGTCAGACCCCACCTGGAGTCCTGCACACAGCCCTGCTGGCCCAAACAGCAGAGGGACACGAAAGTGTTGGAGCAAGGCCAGAGGAGGTCACAAGGCTGCTCAGAGCACTGGAGCACCTTCCCTATGAGGACAGGCTGAGAGAGTTGGGGCTGTTCAGCCTGGAGAAGAGAAGGTTGTGTGGAACCTCAGAGCAACCTGCCAGGAGCTGAAGGGGCTCCAGGGAAGCTGCATAGGGACTGTTGGGTAGGAACTGCAGGGATGGAACAAGGAGGAATGGGGAGAAATTGCAAGAGGGAAATTTACATTAGATATCAGGAATAGGTTTCCTTGTCAGGATGGTGAGACACTGGCACAGGTTGCCCAGGGAGGCTGTGGCTGCCCCAAGCCTGGCAGTGTTCACAGCCAGGTTGGCTGAAGCCTTGAGCAACCTGTTCTGGTGGGAGGTGTCCCTGCCCAGGGCAGGGGGTTGGGGCTGGATGATCTCTCAGCTCTATCCCAACCCCTTAACATACTATGATACTATGAAAATCTGTGTAGAGAACTCTCTATTGAAAAACCAGGGAAATACTGGGCAGCATTAAATAAGTCTATTTGTCAGAATGCAAACCAAAGGCTGAAAACACGAACCAATCTCACGCTCGTGAAGAATGCTTAATGCAGGGCAAGGTTATTACACAGCCTAAGTTAGGTGTAGGCTTAAGCAAAAAAGTTGCAGAAAAACCTGCAGGACTCACATGCCGCCCTCCAGCTGTGGGCCCACCTTCTCATACATCTTGATCAGCCGACTGCAGTTGTAAATGAACATCCCGTCCAGCTCTCGCTGCTCAATGTTCACCCCAAAGATAAAATTCAGCTCTTTGGGTTCCTTCAGTGCCCTGGAAGGCAATGAAACAGAGCCTCAGATGCTGAAAATAAATCAGGTTGTTTGCTGGTGTTAGAGAGAGGGTACGGAAATCCATCAGCCTTGAGGACTGATCTTGTAATCTGCTGTTTCTAAAAAGCATGAAGCATTGAATGGGCATCAAACTGAACATGAACAAAATACAAAAGCTCTGCAGTACAGACACCAGGTTCTGGTACAGAGGTAGAGCCTTACATTTCAAGGAACAGCAAAATTCAAGGAACTGCAAAATAGGAAGGACATCTCATTTTTATCAGAGAAGATGGGAAGTCAAGTTATCACCCAAACCATGGAAAATTAAATGGTGGGTCACAAGCCAGGGATTTCATTACTAGGAATTTAGTACCTGTCCTATCAGCTGGATTTATAACCTGACCTTACACAGGCTTTGGGAACCAGAAAGCACTTCTTTCAGTGATGTACCCAGCACCAGAGAAAGAGCAGAAAACTGTCCTAGGTCATCCTCTGTAATTCAGAAGTTTTGTGAGAGGCTACAGGAATTGGTCTGTACACAAGGTTTCCCACTATACACACTTTCAGGAATTTCCTCTGTTTTCTGGGTGAAGTACAAGGTGGTGGAAAAGCCTGTCCCTGCTCAGCAGTGATGAATGCAGGGACACGGGGAAAGACATGTGCCTGCCCAGAGCTTTGTTTGCTGTTCAGCTTTTTAACAGGAAAACTATTTTGCCCATGGGCAGGAAGGGCAGAAAACTGTTCACAGAATTTTCCTTTGCACACTCATGACACCAAACCCAAGAATTAAAAGACAAACTGTACATGGAAAAGTATGTGGAAGCTGAAGAGAACAGCTTCTCCCACGAGTTCATGCATCCTTCAGATCCCAGCTCTAACCACTTTTAAATTAAATCTGAATTTATTAATATCTTTATAGCATCTTAGGATGCATCAGATCTATCTCTGGCAACAGGTCTGGGATAGTTCTGACCCAGGCAGCCATGTAAACTATCATGCAAACAGCCAGGTGGGAATGGAGACGTGCTCTATCCAAATCTCCAACCTCCTCAGGCTCAGCATTTAAGAGCATTTGTTTCTGGTTACCACTTCATTTGAGAAATGCAAAAGCAATGTATATAAAGAGTAAAATATCCCTGTGAGTACATCAAAAGCCAAAGTTAATTGCAACCAGAACTAAGCTAGAAGAATGTTTTGGGATTTCACAGCACACTCAGCACATGTTTAGAAAACAACTCCTAAAGCTGTTTCACTGTAACTTGCAAACATTCATTCACCAGCCTGAATCTTACCTGCAGGTGAGAAGGCAAAAGAGTGAAAAGCTGATGTGAAAAGCAGCTAAACATCTACACAGAAAACATCCTGACCCACAGATATCTTTCAGCTGGTAAAAGGGAAACAGCAGAGGCAACCAGAACAGTGACCTGACCACTTGGATTAACAGCTCAGGCATGTGGAAGGCCCATGGGTATTTAAGCTCTGGACTGAACTGCTCCTCCACCACACACACACAAAGCAGGAAAGACATCTGAGCACCTGGAACGAACAGCCAGAGTCTAGAAGCCCCTGCACTCACCTCTGCTTTGCATCCTTCATCCTTTTCTTGACATCGGCCTCGCTTCGCATGGCGATGGCCAAGTTCTGGACCTGACGCAGTGTCACCTGCAAACAGGCATTGCACAGTCAAACTGCTGCTGGGAAATTCAAGAAATTCACTCAATCTATGATCTCTCCCTGCCCCCAAGAAGATCTGAGAAATTACTGAAATGTAAAGGATTCATAACTGGTGGAGGGTGACAACCAGTGCGACTCCATGTGTAGGGCAGCACTTATGGTGAGTTGTTTAAGCAGCTACACAGTGGCTTGGAAGAAAATGTCTAAGTGTAACTAAAGGTTTAGTTACAGGGAAACACAGACACTTGGATACTACTGTTTCCATCAGATGCCAGTATGCCCAGTGATTTTAAGCTGGTGCGATCACTGACCCCCCTGATGTCCCTGCAGCCCTCCTCCCACCCCACAGCACCAATGCTCAGCCTTGCTCCCCTCAAAGTCACAGTCCCACTGGGAGCAAGCAAAGAGCCCCTCTCCAAATGCCCCTGTCCAAATGCCTCAGAGCTAGCTGCACAGGCAGGGGAGAACAGCAAAAGAGCCCCCAGTTCTACTCCTGTTTCAACACCTCCCATTCCCCCAGTCTCTCCTGCAGAGGCTGACAGCAAACAGCATCAGAGGGCTGGTGTATATCACCAGCCTCTATCCCAGCCAGGATACACTGGGGCTGTGGGCAGGGGAATGCCAGCATGCTTCCCACTTGGGCTGGACACCACATGCAGATGGTGAAGCACATCCAATGGTGAGGAGACTACGGAGCTGCCGCTGGCAGGAAACTGCTGACTGGAGCTACCAAACCTACACACGGGGGCTGCCATGGGGGGGGCTGCTCCACTGCCAGTGACTGCTCTGAACCATCTCTCGTGCCCAAAAGCAGAAGGCTCACCCTGGACTCCCGCGTGAGATCCCCTCCGAGGCGCAGCTCGAGCGCACGGGCTTTGCTCTCGGCCTCACGAGCCTTCTCCTCCGCTGAAACACAGGGACAAGGGTGATGTCAGCCACGCAGCACACACAGACATCGTCAGGCATTCACCCCAGGAGAGTCCAGAGAGCCTTTGCTGCACTGGCGTGTACAGAGGCACAAAGGGAACACAAAGAGGTACAAAAATCAAACTTTACATAAGAGGGCCCCACTGACATGGTGTCTTCAACCTGCTCAGAGGTCACAGTCAGCACTGGTGTGTTAGCAGGGCTAAACTCTGCAAGAGGGTGTTTAAAGGAAAGATCCATGAGAAAGTCACAAGGAACTGGGAAGAGTAAGGATGCCAGTGGCTCAGCCTGCTCTGCCTGGCACTGTGATTCACAGAAAGACTCTCACTAAAACAGGACAAGAGAAGGCTCTGAGAAGACCTCAGAGCCCCTTCCAGTGCCTGAAGGGGTTCCAAGAAAGCTGGAGAGGGGCTTGGGACAAGGGCCTGGAGTGACAGGACAAGGGGGAATGGCTTTAAGATGAAAGAAGGTAGATTTAAATCAGACTAGGAAGAAATTCCTCCCTGTGAGGGTGGTGAGGCACTGGCACAGGTTGCCCACAGAAGCTGTGGCTGCCATATCCCTGGGAGTGTCCAAGGTTGAATGGGGCTTGAAGCAACATGGGCTAGTGGAAGGTGTCCCTGCCCATGGCAGGGGGTGGGACTGGATGAGCTTTAAGGTCCTTCTAACCCAAACCAGTCTGTGATTCTATGATATGGAAATACAATATGCATGCTGAGGGATGGTGTGGCTCACACCAAGGTGAACAGTGGGCCATAGGAAGGGGGCAGCAGCATGGTTACAGCACACCCAAAGCCATCTCCCTCCCTGCTCTCCTCACAGGGAGCCAATCTGTAGCTGTGAGACACTCAAAACAAGGAAACACACAGTGGAGGAGTGACCTTGCCTAAGATTTATGGAAGATGAGGTAAGCAGGGAGATGACAGGATAGCAAATGGCTCCTCGAGATTGCCAACATCTCTCAGAAAAGCAGCACTCAGTTGCCAGCCAGAAGGAACCCAGAGGCTGTAACCAGTCAGCTCACTTTGACCACTACAATAAAAATCCCCTTTTCCTTTCCATGCAGTGTCCCATTGGAGTTTTGTTTCACTCATTCCCACAGCAGCATGCTCTGGGGTTCACAGCTGCTCACCAAGCAGGTCCCAGCAGGACTGTGTGACTGTGAGACACAGCCTGGCTAAACTGGACCCACAGGAGTCTGGAGGCTGCTTGAAGCACTTGATCCACTTCAATCAGAGCTTGTAGGGAAGGAGCTGTCGGGCTAAAATTATCCGTGGCTAGTGGAAAGAACACAACAGTGACCCAGAAGGGCATAGGTCAAACCTGCTCCACTAAGGCAGTGACAACTGAGATGGCCGACAGGGAACGATTTAGTTACAGGGCTGAGGCCCCAGTGGGCAAAGATGCATGTCCTATGCAGGACACACAGCAGCTGGAACCTGCATCCACACCCTCCCAGGGGACAACAGGCACAGTGCACCCATGGCAAGGTTACCAACCACATCTGTTTTCCACGTGTTCATATCCCATGTTTCAGCATAGTTTCCAAGAGGATCTGCTCCACGATCTTGCCTGGCACAGAGGTGAGACTGACTGGTCTGGTTCCCTGGGTCTTTTGCTTTTCCCTTTTTAAGAACAGAGGTTATATTTCCCTTTTTCCATTCCACAGGAATTTCACCTGACTCCCAGGACTTTTCAAAAATTATGGATAGGGGCTTAGCAACTTCACCTGCAGCTCCATCAGGGCCCACAGATGAATCTCATCAGGTCCCGAGGATTTGTGCACATTCTGAGCAACTTCACCTGCAGCTCCATCAGGACCTGTGGATGAATCTCATCAGGTCCCATGGACTTGTGCACATTCAGGTTCCATAGATGGTCACGAACCTGACCCTCTCCTTCAGTGGCCCAGGGTCTCCATTCTCCCAGTCCCTGCATTTGCCCTTCCCAACGTGGGCAGTGTGGCTAGAGCACTTGCCATTGAAGACTGAGGCACAGAAGTCATTGAGAACCTCGGCTCTCCAGGTCTCCCATTTCCTTCTTTTGTTTGCAATATATCTATAGAAGCCCTTCCTGTTATCCTTAATATCCCTTGCCAGATTCAATTCTATCAGGGCCTTGGCTTCCCTAAGCTTGTCCCTAGCTTCCCGCGCAATTTCCCTGTATTCCTCCAGGCCACCTGTCCTTGTTTCCACCCTGCATTTTCCCTTCCCAACGTGGGCAGTGTGGCTAGAGCACTTCCCATTGAAGACTGAGGCACAGAAGTCATTGAGAACCTCGGCTCTCCAGGTCTCCCATTTCCTTCTTTTGTTTGCAATATATCTATAGAAGCCCTTCCTGTTATCCTTAATATCCCTTGCCAGATTCAATTCTATCAGGGCCTTGGCTTCCCTAAGCTTGTCCCTAGCTTCCCGCGCAATTTCCCTGTATTCCTCCAGGCCACCTGTCCTTGTTTCCACCTCCTGCTATTTTTGGTAATCATAAGTTTTGATTCAACAAGCTCATAAGCTACTTCCAACGACTCAGCAATCCTTCAGTCTGATGGATTCCAACACATCCCTGGCAGGCAGCCCTGGCACGCTGGAACTGCTGCTGGCTCAGCTGAGACCCACCATTTCTCACGATGCACCCCTGGGTTTGAAAGAGCAAACTGCAAATCATTCCAGGGTGAGGATCCCTCCAGAGAATGGAGGGAATCTGCAGGAGGAAATGGGTGCTGGAGACAACGAGAAATTGATCTTTTCTACCAACAGCAGAACAAGAGAGCTTGGTTGTTACAGATTAAATCCATTTTCCTACAAGCAAAGCAATGAGATGTGTGACACCGAGGCTGAGCGTAATGCTACAAGCACGTTCTAGTCCTGGAGGCTCCATGTGAGTCCGAGGTCAGCTGGGACTTTCCACCACCATGTCCAAAGCCCTTTGCCCAGCACCCTTTCCCCCAGAGGCACCAGGCTGGTTTAGTGACACTGTCACTGCCAGAGGCACTGGGCTGCTTTGGTGATGGAAATGAGTGATGTTTCCATGCCAATGGGACCTGTTGCCAGCACTGGGACACTGATGGCAGTGTCCTCCAGTGTCACACACTAAAACTCCACTTTTAAACATCATGAAAGCCTCATGGACTGCTGCAGGGAAGAGGTCTGTCTAAATCCTGATCTTTGCATCTCCTTGAAAGGAAATGTGAGTGTGTGCTGAACACCTGCCTTGGCTATAGGGCTCAATCTAAAACTAAACTCATCTATGAAGATTGAGGCACACAATAAAATTTGCCTAAACCTCATCTTTTCAAGTCTCTCTTGCCAGGTTGTACTTCCTAATGCAGGAACAGGGAGTAGAGTCATTCACACCATTTCACTCTGCTGCTTTGCCAGGGGCAGGGTCACAGTCGTGCTGCCCTCCATGAGGCTGCACAGGCTGAACATGGCACTGTCCCTCGTGGATCTGACCTGCAGCCACACACAGACGTGCCTAAAGCAGATCTGACACAGGGACAGAGGACACATACCTCTGATTGATTTATGGAGGTGATTTATGAAACCTGTCAGAAGATACAGGTCATGTATAGGTCACTTAGCACTTCCAAGATTCTTCCTTCACACTGCAACATTTCCCCATCAGGGGTGAAGGAGGGACACTGCTTTGTGTGTTAAATTTCTGCAGATTTAATGCACTTGTATGCTGTATTTACATGCTTATATGATTTCTATATGCTGACTATCCCGATAATGGCAAACTGGGCTTTCCCTGAGGACTACAGGACTTAACAGGAAAGGAAGATTAGATGAACAAAAGGTAAGTCTGGAGGGGTTAAAAACAAACCAACAGACTCGTTTGTCTTTTGTACACCCAGAGCAACCTTTTTACATCAAGTGACAGAATAGAAGTCTACTTTTTGAGCTGCTTCAACAGGGAAGGGGCAGAAGGAGAACAGAACTAAAAGCTCATGATATGCTAAAGGTGAGAGCAGAGCTGTAGGGTGACAGGGCTCAGCCAGGCTGTGGCTGGAGTGAGGGCAGACAGCTGGGAGTCTAAGGGTTATCCTATATGTCTGTTCCCCAGAGGAACTGGTCTCAGAGAACACTATGGAAATGTTCCGTTGCATGGAAATAAGTCCAGATCACCTGTAGTCGCTGTAATAACTCAGTTTCTGAGCAATCCCAGGTCACACTCAGCAAAGCACAAACACCCTGAGCACTCACCTATCCTTGCCATGTGCTCTGCTTTCTTCACCTCCTGCTCTGCACGGGTCTTGAAACGGTTTGAAGTATATTTGTACATCCTATGATGATCAAAATTTATCAATTAGCAAACTCAGCAGTTAGGCCAAGCCACGATTTCATCACTGTATCAGAACAAGGTCTCCACATGCTACTCTACTGCTCCCAATAGATTTGACAAATGGAGGAGGTTTATGTATCAGGAACTGGATGTTTTTGCATGAAACTAGGCAAAATCTTTTTAAGTCAGAGCTGTTTTAGTAGTAGCTACAACCACAATAGCCTCTCTTCTTCTGCATTAGCCAATGGGGGAAAAATATTCTTGGAGGAAATCTCAAGATTTAGAGAAATAAGTAGAAATAAGAAGAGTGAATATATATGGAAAGCTTCTCAAACCCCTCCCATTGCAACTGAATATCCTTTCCTTTTTCCTGAGAACAGCTATCCACAGGTGCATCTCACACAGGGTTAGCTCAAAGCAGAGCAACAATCTGACTAGAGCTTCAAGTTTCAGGACATTTCTGTGTGCTCCACATCTGACTCACTGCTCATGAGTGTGTGTCACCTCTGAGCAGAGGCATGTAATGAGAGGAGATGACAGCAAGAAGGATGAGCAGAGCCTGTAAAAACTCAGATCACCTTAAGACGCAAGGTTTTCAATGTATCTGGAGGAAAATCCCATTCCAAATTACTGTTTATGGAAAAAAACCCCACCTTTCCAGCACTGAGCTAATGGAAAAGACACTAGAAATGCTGTTTTTACAGAGAGGCAGAAGAACATAGGGATGTAAGGCTCAATTTGAACCACATTTAGATCTCAAAGAGAATCAAGGTTCCCCCAAAGTGGCAGATAAACTGTTGGGATTGATTGTAGAGACACTTGTGGAGATGAAAAGTTCCGTTTAGGTTTGTTTACATGGGTAAGCACACATGGATGTTGGTACTGAGGTCAGAAATAGTCTCACCAACAGGAATCCCTTGTGGCCAACTCTAGAAAATTCACACCACAAGCACAGTACCCTGAAATACATTTTGCTAAACTCATTTTCTGTTATTCATACGGATTTCCTCACTGGGAAATGTGTGGTTGTGTGGGGACCTCACAGTCTACCACTAGAGACTACCACTTCCAGAAATCACCCAGTTGGGTGAAATCACTGTGTCAGGAGCTGCAGAGTCAGGATTTTGGTGGCACCATCTCTAACCTACATAAGGTCGATGAAAACTACCTGGGGCTGAGCGAGAGCACAGTCTGGAAGCCAAGCTGCTTTCAGCATGTTGGCATAATCACATTACCTCATCCACATCCACCTGACTTTCCTCAGGCAAAACGGGAAAAAAAAAGAGAGAAGCTGAAAGGGTGAAGCTGAATTATCCCCCCACACCCAGCTCAAGTGGCAGGGCAGCACCTGAGGGGACCACGGGGACAGCACCCCATTGCAGCAGAGAGCACTGTGAGCAACTGTGGTGTGTCCCAGATGGGCATCATGAGCCATCCCCAGCTTCAAGAGGCTCATTCCAACTGCCTCGGAGTGTCCTCGTCAAGGAACACTCTTGCACATGGCCTGGCTGCTTCTCCCTGCACAGCCCACACAGCTAAACAAGCCCCAACAGATACTGAGGAAGGGAAGGGATGGAAGCAATCCTTCAGGAGACATAGGCCATTCCCAGGGAAGCTGGGACTGTGGTAACACACCTGCAAATGCTGGAGAAGGACTGGCACAAAACCAGCCTGTCCCTGCCACCAGGATGTTACCAGCTCCAGAAAGGTGAGGAGAAGCCTCTCCCACAGAAACATGGATGACAAACAGAAAACAAGTGCCCTGCTCAGAAGACACACCGTTATTCCTGAAAAACAGCACAGTGGCTGCAAAAACACACTCAGTGTGGATCCACAGTGGATTTCCATTCTTCGTTTGCTAACACCAACACCAGAACCTGCAGACAAGCCACTGTAAAGGCTTTTCCTTCAGAGATGAAGGCAAATTGACAGCCCCACTGCAGGAGAGAGCCCTGCCTCAAGGTAAAGAGTCCTTCAGGATGTCCCACATGAGCACACCAGCTACTTGGGCTGTAAGGCAGCAGCACCTCCACCACGTGTTCCCCATCCCTTTGCTGGACCAGGAAGGGCCAACACCTACCTGGCCTAGGCTACTGGGCCAAAAGCACAGCCATGCTAAAGAGCTGAGCATCACTGCTGCATCAGCTGACCCCAGAGGAGAACTGCTCTAAAGGGAAAGCCAAGGCATAAGCAACCCTTTTTCAGCAGGTTCAGGGAGAAAAAAAGTCAAACCCCCATACCTATGGCTGTAAAAGCAGAGTAACTACTCTCAGAATGGAGTTTTCCCTTGGGAAAGAGCCACTCAGGGCATATTGAGCTCTGCTCAGGTAAAAGACTGAGTTTCCACAGCCTGACCCTGAGAGCTGTGCTGGCTCTCAGAACCCACAGTTCTATTCAAACCTAGATGAGCTACATATAAAAGCAACTTTTAAAAAGCTGCTTTTTTATAAAAGCAACTTTTGAAAAAGCACGAAAGTGCTCAGTCTAGTTTCCTTTCAGTAATAATCCTAATAATCCTAACATCCACCATATGTATTTCCTTGTCCTGCTCAAAACCAGTTACCCAACAGTTTTGTGTGGATATAGCACTTTGAACAACCAGGATCTTCATTTCTTTGTTTGCTCTGAAAGGGAGCCAAATTGCACCAATGACTCATGCAATTTTCAAAGGCATTAGATTTTCCACTATGCACCTCTTTTTCCATGATGTCACCACCACATGCCATTCTCTTATGGGCTGTTTCTGTGGCTTTAACCTGGAATTATGCAGGATACACCTGGAAAGCAAAACATTAAACCTTTTCTGTGACTCCAAAAGGTTCCACAGGTCTGCAAATTTTGGGCCCAACACTTACCTTGGCTTGTAGAGGCAGCATGAGAGTCGTTTGGTTTGTACTTTGTGTCCATTGATGAAGATCCTCATCCTGGGATCAATATAAAGGACAGCAGCATAGGCACGGAAGGAGCGGCGCTCCGGCTTGCTGCAAGAGAGACATCTGCTTCAGAACATAGTTTCATAGTATGTTAAGGGACCTTAGAGTTCCCTGGGCAGGGACACCTCCCACCAGAACAGGTTGCTCAAGGCTTCAGCCAACCTGGCCTTGAACACTGCCAGGGCTGGGGCAGCCACAGCCTCCCTGGGCAACCTGTGCCAGTGTCTCACTACCCTCACAGGGAAAACTTCTGCCTGAGATCTCATCTCAATCTCCCTCTTGCAATTTCTCCCCATTGCTCCTTGTCCTATCCCTGCAGTTCCTAACCAAGAGTCCCTCTGCAGCTTCCCTGGGACCCCTTCAGCTCCTGGCAGGTTGCTCTGAGGTCCCCACACAACCAGCAGCCAACACAGGCATTCACCCCAAACACAACCACAGTGCCTGTGGACTGACACATGCATGAACCCCAAACTGCTAAAGAACAAACTACAGATCTTCTAACTTCTCTAGTCCACTACAGAGAGAAAAAATTTAAAAAAAACCCATGCAGAGAGTATATAGCCAAAACCTACACCAAATCTGATCAAGGCCTGTAACACCGGTCACACTTACGTTCCCTCTGGGGATGTTTCTGCCATCTGAATGTCTTGAGGGTCTGAAGAAACATCCAGCTCTGGTTGTCCATTATCCATTAGTTTGAGGTTAAAGATGATCACCAGGGTGCCTGAGCAAGTAACAAGTTGATCAGGTGCATCTCAGCCAAACCCCAAATACCTCACCCATGACCTGCACCATTCACACGTACCTTTCTCACCACTTATCTTACTGAACTGCTCCATCACTTCCCGTTGTGATTTGAAAGGAGAATACTTGTAAATGAGATCTGTCTCAATAGCAAACTTCTCTATGTTGTCTGTCACAGGCTCACAGCTCCGTGCGCTCCAGGTGGGCAGGGGAACGATGACCTGCAAATCCCATGGTACCCAGAGTGACTATGGCTCTCTCCCTCCAGTCAGCCCCTCCTGCAGGTCTCAGACCATGACTTACCCCTCCCAACAGCCCCCTAAGTCACCACAAGGGTCCTTCCCAGCTTTGCAGTGGTTTGCACATCTGCCATACTCGAGGACCTTCTTTGCCATATTCTGAGTTGCCTTCCTACCACACCAGTCTGAGAATGAACCACTCCTGAGTCAACCATATGTTGCCAGCTACTCACACACTCAATGGCTTTTTTCCCCCTCCCCTTGCAACAACTTTCATAATACTAAAAATCCACTCAAACTTTCCTTCTTAAAAAATCTAAACCTCTGGCTTAACTTCTCTCTTGAACTCAGACATCCTTCACTAATTTTTATCCTGACCTCACTCTTTAATATTTTTATAGGATTCTACCAAGGTTATTGGTGGTTTCTGTCATTTAGAGCAAAAACACAGATAGAATTATAAACTGCAGCTGCACATCAAGGACACAAATCCCATCCTTGAACTGAGGTCAAGCAAAAATTTCTGGCTCCAGAGCTGCTGTGGGAACTATCTCACTGATCCCAACCTGCTTCAGCCATGGGATGACAGCCAGCACACACTGCCCCTCCCCAGCTTCTCTGCACAGCTCCCTTCACTCCCTCCCTCCCTCTCTCACCACAGAAGATGCTTCCTGAGACACCATCCCAGTGCAAATTTTAAACCTTTCATTACTGGCCTTGCCTGGAGCAGCAATGCTTGAGTTATCTATTAAGATAGACAAGTTTTCCATAGGTAGAACCACACTGACTTTTTACTAAAATACTAAATGAAAATAACCAAAAGAAGAGATGTGCCTGGAGTTTATGACATGTGGGTAAAAACTTCAACCACACCTTTACTTCCCTACAGAAAAACAAATCAGAGCAACACATTTAAATACATCTCAAACTCAAATTCTGTGGGAAAAGGAAAATGCAAGAAGTCTGGGCATGTCCTGAACTCAGCATAAGCACCTTTAAGTGCCTGAAACAAGCCCTTCAGACTTGCTGTAGTTTAGAGAGACTTTCCAAAAAGAATTAAAACAAAAAGGAAAAAAAACTTAGGTGACTTTGCAGAAGTCCTACAAGTGTATCACCATACACTGATCTCACCAGAGTGGCAACTAGCCCTGACACAGAGCCTTCTGTAAGAGCTGGGCAAGCTCAGACAAGGCAGCTATCACTGCATTAGTTCATTACAACAAGCACATGCAAACCTCATCAATGCCTTCTTCCTCATGGAATGTCCGTGACAAGAGGAGGCAAGTCATGGTGTTGTCTTTCTTCGTGAACAGGATAAAATCCTTCCCAATCCTCATGGAGCCCCTGCAGACAGAGATCAGGCTGCATGTCACACCTGGTGCACCACACTGGCCAGGACACAGACCATGTTACTGAGCTTTCTTCCCACTCTATTCAGTTATGAGATGCCAAAACCAGGTTAGGCAGAAGGGCTGAAACAGCAACTACCATTTCTCTCTGCATCTCAGTTCTTTCAGAAGGCATCTCACAATGGTTCAAAACTTTTAACACCAGTCACAATTAGAAGCTGCAGAAGGACAGAGCAATGTTCCAGGCTCACACCATGTAGAAAGCTTCAATAAAACCAAAATCTAAACAAGATGACTAAGGTGAGATGTAACAACAACCTTCAAATCTCAGCAAAAATGTCAGTGGGAAAGCGATGACACCCCTCATTTCACTGTACCTGGAATGAACAGCAGCAGGTTGGAGATACACAATTCATTTCCTAACGTCTGACTAAAGCCTCAGACATTACAGCTAAGGCAGCTTAGCAGCTTGTTGTCACAAAAAGGGACAGTCCCATCTTCCTCCCCACTCTCCTATCCCAAATAGTGTCTTTACATCTTCTCTGTTATCCTGTTACCCAAGTCATCCAAAAACAACCTCGATGGAGAACAATTAACACTGCATGGGAAGAAGGATCAGTGTCCAGTCAGCTCAGCTCTCCGCAGACTGGCTGAAGGACACCACAGCAACAGCACAGTGACAGTACAGCCCATCTTTCACATGCTGGGGCTTCAGGCAGCATTTCTCAGCTGTAATACAGTACAACTCTTGCTCAAGGTTAAGAAAGGACAGATATCTGTCCTGGAAGTGCACAGGCAGGATCTAGGATCTGTACTGCACTGCAGCTGGATCAATAGTGTCTCAAGATCCCCTAAGTCCATGGTTTTCCCCCCCCAGATTATAGAGTTCCACCCATTTCCCAGTAGGGTGTATATAATGAAGCCACAAATCAGAACAGTCAGAGTGAGCCATAAAGGCCTCTAACTTTTCCAAAGACACAGCAAACACCTTCCTCTTTCCTAGCAAATCCCCTCCAGGCAGTAAGATTTCCTTCCCACCTCTGTTCCTCTGCACTTAATCCCACTCCTCCTCTCATTCCTTCTACCATTCCCCCCTCCCTGCATTTGTTTGGTTTAAGAACAAAACCAAAAGGTTTAAGTCCATCTGCCTTGCAGCAGACAACTTTCCCACTGAGAAGCTACAGCACTGTTTTGCTCTAATTTTACTACCTGGATGCCACAAGGCAGATTATGGTTTTGTTTCCAGCTCTTCCATTATTTTCCCCCAGCTCTGACCTGTGTGCTCTGACTCATGCAAACACAGAGCCAAAACACTGCCATCAGCTGTGCACAGCCCTCTCAGCCACTAGAGAGCCACAGCAGACGTTTTCAGAGCTCCTGCCTCCCAAACCAGGGGATGTTTGGAGTTCATCCGCTTTTTTTTTTTCTGGACAAAAAAAAGATAGAAACCTCCAAGCAAAAAGAACATTGACCAGCTGGACTGTGATCTCCCCAACCTAAGCAGGCTGGCTTTTGTTATACCTACGATTTCAAGCCGTTTCCATACTGCCCAATTTGAGTGGACTCTGCTGATTTCTTGGCTGATTTACCAAACTGGATAACACTGGCAGCTTCATCTGCAACAAAAGATAGGGAACACAAAAAAGCTTATTTTAATGTATAAACATACACACACACACACACATCCTTTAGATAAGCTCCTTTAGCACTGGAAACAGCACTATAAGCATGCTCAGAAGTTGAAGTTCCATCTTGAAGCTGTACCACAGAGCCCTATGAGGTACACACTGCTTGAGGGCACTGACACTACCAGAACCTTTGTACAAGTGCCACAATGCTGATAAAAAGAGTTTTCAGCCTAGCCCAGTGCCCCATCTAAACTGCACAAAGACACTTCTTTTTGCCAAAAAAAAAATCCACAAAAATATTCTGTTGTGTCCACCACAGCTATCAACACTCATAGACCAAACCCCTGGCACATGTGGCTCTGCTGCACCCTGTGTCCTGCTGACACCACACACTGGCACTGGAGCATAAGTCAGGACTATGAAAAAGGTCAGGAATCCAGGATAAACATTACTATTTCTTCACGGTGTTGAACTGAACACTCTGGTTAATTAAAGCTCTGGTAAGACACAAGCTAACTTTGGCAGCAGATTGCTGGAGCCCTGGCAGCAGGACAGCTGGGGGAAAGGCAGCACAAGCAGATTTCTTTAGTAGAAGACTAAGAGGACAGAGGATGGGCTTTACAGCTGAGTCTTTCATTTTCAGTTCCAGCCTTTCTATTGTCCATGGGTAAAGCCTTTTAACATCATCTGTAGGACAGAGCAATTCCTTTCCCTTTCCCCAAGAGACAGCAATCATTTCACCAGAGTTTACTGGGAGAAGTGAGGTCCAGCTCCAGAAACAAAGAACACCAAGTACCTAAACAGGAAGGCTAACAACAATACAACCCTCAAATGTACACACAAGCTGTGAGGGAGCAGGGGACATCGCTCACCCCACCAGGACAGGCTGGATTTCAGTACACAGGAGACTCACCCAGGCCCACCAGCACTGACAGACAGTTTTACAGCAAGATATTCAGTGCTAACACCATAGGTCTGACATGGAGTGACTGAGGGGGTATCAGAATACCATTTGTGGCTGAAATGACATTCAAATTTAAAGCCACAAATACAGGAGAACAACTGTGCAAACCCCACACTGCCTTAACTCCAGCTGTTTCTAACAGAGCACCATAGCTATTCCAAAACCAACTTTGGACTGGGTGAAGGTACCTCTGCCTTCCCTTTGGCCTACTGGAGCATTTTCTAGCCAAAGAAAATGTTGGAGTACCTTGTACTTGAGATCTGGGAAAGGATGTCAATGATGATGGTATTATTATTGCTCTAATTATTATAACTATTACTGTGTGACCTTTAAAGCCTGGTCAGGAAAGGGGATATCTCAACTTTGGCTATTGGAACCCTTTTGCTGTACAAACATTTTAGCAACAACTATTTTTAAGAAAACTTTAAGCCTAAAGGGTAAAGAGTAATTATCCAAAGCATTTCCTCTCTCAGAAAAGGTGACCAGATGGTTTATCACTCAATGCTGCATGTCCCAAACCATCCTATTAATACTCTTCTTTCAGGGCAGAGGGATGAATGTGAAGCTGAGCAGAGGGGACTGTGAGGGAGCATCTCTCTGCTCCAAGCTGACTGTCTTTAAGAGAGATTTAATCTTTATATTCTCCCAAGAATAAAGGTACAAATGATTTTTTTCCCAGCTCTTTTGAATTAAGACTCTAGAGGAGTTTCACTTAAGGCTATTTTAGTCACACTGTTTTTGTTATGTTGTGTCTCAGAGTTACTGGATTTAAAAAAGCCAATCTCCCTGGCAAGAAAAGCCAGGGGGAGGTGTGTGATCTATGCCAAACAGAGGAGAGAAAAAAAAAACTGAAGAAATTCACTCAAGACAGCAGACTGATCTTCAGAGCCCAAAAAAAGCAATCAAGGACATATGAAACATTAGACACCTGTGGATGGAACTGTTCCTGAAGTCAGACCTGGCTCTGACCCTTGAGGAGAGTCCTCTCATATCTCAAAGTTCTTTGGCTGAGAAGACAGTAAGGAAGGTCCCAATCTGAGCAGAGAAAATTATCCTTCCTGCCTTCTCCACAAACTCATCTGCTATATTCACACTGTGATGGACTTGACAGCATCCTGACAAGTTATCCCACAGCCAAAGCATCTAATTTACTACCTGAGGAAAATCAGCCTAAAGCAAAGTTGAATTTTCCTTGGGACAGAGGAATGAGGGAGAAGCTCTGATGTCCTTTGTCACTGTAACAAACACAAGACTCTGGGGCAATGGCTGAACACAGCCATAGACTGACAAATCACTTTATGTTCCTGCAATTTATTGCAAAAATCTGTTAACATGAGAGGAAATGCCAGTGTTAAAGATTTAACCTTAAATTAGGTTAAAGAATCATTTTCTCCTGAGAAATGTGTAGACCACTCTCCCAAAAGTGGTCCCCATGTATCACTGCCCACACATAGAAGCATGTGCACACACTCCATAATAAATGCTGGAATGCTACTTAGATTTAAATAGAACTCCTCAGTGTTGTGAGCCTTGGATAAATGGGATTTTAAAAATACAAGATCTAATAAAGTAACCAAGATACTAGTACTTAATTAACTGCTTCCAGTAAAACAAAAGCTGGTTTGAGCTTCCAAACTTCAAAAACAGAGTTTAAAAGAGCTCTATTTACTTCAATCCCTTCAAAAAGCAATGGAAAAAGTTCTCTTAAATAGTATTACAGGCAAGGCAGGTGACTGGGATAAGTCAGCAGAGATTTGCCAAAGGCAAGTCACACCTGACTGATCTGGTCACCTTCTATATGGCAGCACTTTCTATCCACATGGAGAGAGCAGTGAGTGTTGTTTGCCTGCACTTCAGCAAAGTGCTGGACAGAGTTTCCAACTGCCTGCTCCTGGGCAGACTGGGAAGACACAGACCAGATGGGTGATATGAAGATGAGTAGGGAACTGGCTCAGGGTTGTGCTCAGAGGTGATCATCAATGGTTTCCACTCCAGCTGCCAGCCTGTCACAAGTGGAGTCCCCCAGGATTGATGCTGTGCCCCACAGTGTTCAACATCACCACGTGGGATCTGGGTGATGGGATCAAAGGAATAGTGCTGTGAAATACCACTACAACCCACAGCATCTGCCAATCTCCTTTACTGAGTATCTCAGGCTACCAGTCAGGATAAAACCCTTCAACATTTAGCTGAAAGATCACTCAAAGGAAGCAACTTAATACATAGCCAAGACTTTAATCCCACTTTGTCCCAAAACCAGCAATATGGGAGCATCAAAGCTGTAAAAGCTGCCTGAGACACTGTGGTGTTAAACCAGACATCTGCCACCTTCCACTCTTCACCCAGAGACAAACATATAGTTTTCAAGACAGGCAGTAAAGATTGCATTTCCTCTCCCTGATCCAAAGACTTGTGAAAAGGCCACAGTTCAGTCTCTGAGTTTGATTTATGGATGGGGTTTTATTGCTTCCTTTGGTTCCACTGGTGGCAGAAAAGTGCTCTCAGCAGAACTGAGTCCTGCATCCTTAATTGTTTTCTAGAGAATACACAGAAGGTACCTTGAGTTCAAAACAAATTCCTGCATGGAGGTCACAAATCTGTGTATCAAAGATGTCAATGTATTTTTATGAACACTAATAAATGGAATGAAATGCTTCATATCTGCACTGGTTTGGGCTGGGATAGAGTTCAGTCTCTCCATACTAGCTTACATGGGGCTATGTTTTGAATTTGTGCTGTGTTTTTGTCAGTGCTGAGCAGAGTTTACACAGCATCAAGGCCTTTTCTGCTCTTCACGTTGCCCCACCAGCAAACAGGCTGGGGGTGCACAAGGAGTTGGAAGGGGACAAGGATGGGATGGCTGACCCCAACTGACCTAAGGGATATTCCAGACCGTATTAATATGGATTAGAAGAGACTTTAAACACCATCTCATTCCACCAGCCCTGCTATGGGCAGGAACACTTTTCACTAGACCAGGTTGCTCCAAGCCCCATCCAAGCTGGCATCATGCACAGCAGACAGAGCTGGGGAAGCACATTCAGTGTGATGCCATTCACTTTCCCAAGCCACTGTTACACGTGATGGTCCCTGCCCTCCTGGGGATGGCTGAACACCTCCTGCCCATAGGAAGTGGGGAATGAATTCCTTGGGTTTTTTAGCTTGTGTGTGGCTTTTGCTTTCCCTATTTAACTGTCTTTATCTCAACCCGTGAGTTTCCTCATGAGTTTCCTCCTTCCGATTCTCCTCACCACATCCTGCTGGAGGAGGAGCAAGTGGCTGTGTAGGGCTGAGCTAACAGCTGGAGTCAAACCACAACAAGATCACAAGAGGAACTTAAAGTACTGAGGGATCAAAACAAAAATGTTTGTCGATGTTTATTTACACTTCGCCTTCTCCAAACCCTCCCAATTTCACCCAACTCTTCTGCCCCACAGAGAGCTCCTCACAGGAGGATTTACCAGTCCTCAAGACTGAAAGGTGATGGTGTGGGTTGACAGCTCTGCTCACTGATGCAAAAGCAAAGCAGGAAAGCTTTTTTCCTGCTAGATACAACATGGATTTATATCAGTCCTTACAACGAGGCAGAAGTACATTTGTTACATTCTTCTCATTTTTCTAAGACTTTATATTGCCCAGTATTGACCTCAGTCACAATGCCAATGATGAAACCATGCCAATGTGCTTTCAAAGCTGAGCCTGCAATTTCTGCCATGAGATAAACTGACCACCTGGCAGCCTCTGACAGGGAAAAGACTTATCCCCATCAAAGCTTGTGCTTGTTCCCCTTCTGGCTACACTATTCTCCCTCCAGCTTCAAGGCCAACTTCAGTGTGCTGGAAACTACAGGCCAGGTCAACCCAACACTATAATGCAACAAAACTTTCTTTTGACCAGAAGCTTTCTGCAACTGAAGCTTTCTGCAAGTGAAGAGGTGACTAGTTCAATACAAAGTATAGTGCAAAGGAATCAGTGCAAAGGCAAGAACACAAATACAGGCACAGAACATGCCCCATTCAACAGCTTAAGCTGTAACCTGAAACCACAACTTGAAACTGTAAGTTTAACTCCTATCACTTACTTGAATCCATTCCTGTTCCATCATCCAAAAAACAGAGCATGAATCCACCTCGTAGGTCCTTCCGTGGCTCTGCAAGAGAAGAGTTAGTCACTGCAGCTATTCACTGCTCCCACGAGCAAAATCTCCATAGAATGGGATGGGTGTTGTTAACAGCAGAAGTAACGTAACAAACAGGGCTTTTACATCCCCAATATGGCTAAGCTGTAAAAAAAAAAGAGCATCAGGTCTTTGTTACTGAATGACTAAGACCTTCTCCTGCACTTTGTACTGCACGTGAGGATGTGCTACAGGAGGGTATTGTATCAGCAGGATTTTTAAGCATCCAGTACAAACAGCAACTCACTTTGCCCAACCTCAGGTGAAGGCTGACCTAAGTGCCTCCCCCAGGTATTTGTAAAGGTGCTCCCTTTTGAAAAACAACAGGCACTGGAGCACAGGAGAAATGGTAGAATAATAGAATTATTTGGGTTGGAAAAGACCCCTAAGATCATTGAGTCCCACCATAAACCTAACACTGCCAAGTCCACTAAACTATGTCCCTAAGTACCCCATCTACGCATCTTTTAAATATCACAGAGTCACAGACTATTCAGAGCTGGAAGGGAATCACAAGGATCATCGGTCCAATTCCTGGCCCTGCATAGGACATCCCAACTATCTCATCATGTACCTGAGAGCATTGTCCAAACACTCCTTGAGCTCTGTCAGCCTTGGGGCTGTGACCACTGCCCTGGGGAACTGTTCCAGTGCCCAAAACAGCCTCTGGGGGAAGAATCTTTGCCTAGTATCTAACATATGTAGACATGATTAGGTATTAAATATGGGTAGATGGTAACTCCACCATGCCCTGGACAGCCTGTGCCAGTGCCTGACCACCCCATCAGTGAAGAAATTTTCCCTAATATCCAACCTAAACCTGCCTTGGTGCAACTTGAGATGTTTGCTCTCATCCTGTCCCTTGTTCCCTGGGAGCAGAGCCTGATCCCACCTGGCGGCACCTCCTGGCATGGAGTTAGAGAGAGCAGAAGGTTCCCCTGAGCCTCCTTTTTTCTCCAGGCTGAGCCCCCACAGCTCCCTCAGCTGCTCTTTGTGCTCCATACCCTTCCCCAGCTCCATTCTCTTCCCTGGACACTCTCGAGCCCCTCAATGTCCTTCTTGTCATGACGGGCCCAAAACTGTCCCCAGGATTGGGCGTAAACACCCTCACTCTTATTGTATCAGGGACAACACACATTTACAGCCTACATCCAAGTTAACTACTGACTTAACTGCTGGCATGCAAGGAGTCAGCAGGAGTGACTTACCAGTATAAATGTCTATTCTCGTGGCATCTGCATCTCTACAAAGCAATAAATACCCAATTGTTATTCAAATATCAAGCACAAATGAAGCTAAAATCCAAGCACACGCAATCATTTCCCAAATAACTGTCTGCACAGATCAAAGTGCACAGAGGCCTCACAGTCAGCACCAACAGACAGGTTAAAACACATATTGTCCTACTTTTTGTCTACTTAAAGCTAAACTCCAGCACAAGCCACTGCTGGCACACAAGCAGAACAGGAGGCAGGGACTATCACTGGCTTTTTAACAAAAGCATACTGGGAGCAGGGGATCTGAGCTCCCTCCTGCACAAAACACCTACAGTTTTTCTGTCAAGCTGCCTACGGAAGGTTTGGTAACTCCACGTAAAGCTCCATCCCAATACATTCAAGGTTGTTAAAGGAAACTATCACTGCAAGGCCACAGAAGTGAGGCCCTTCACACACAGCATCCTCGTCCATATTTGGAAGCACAGCACACACAGCACTACTGCACTTCTCAAACCAATTTCTAATCTGTTGTTCGTGTTATCTTTATTTCACCAATTTCTTTACACAAAAAGGCAGACTGAATTTTTTCCTTAAATCCATCTTGTGTCTTCCATCAATTTCCTTTCCAATCTGAGTCATTCTAGGATTCATTCAAAAGTATCTGGCCAGCAATAGATTTTTTCAGGGGGCATATGTAGCAGTATAAGAGGAACAAGTGAAATATTCATACTGAACTACAGCAATACCTTCTAATTTCTGTTTTTCATAATGTCTACTAGAAGTGAAAATTGTTCAAGGTCAACTAACAGATAGGTGAATTTGATCTTAACCAAAGGTACCTTGGGATTAGGCAGTCTCAGGTACGTACCTGGCATTATCTACAAGTTCAGCAAGGGCACCAAACAAGAACTCATGGGTAGTTCTGCAAGGAAACAGAATCAGCAGGATTACAGCAACTCTTAAAAAGAAAGGCCTTTAAATAAATAAGAATCTCAACCACATTTTGAACAAATCCAATCAAATGTCTATGGGCTGGCTGACAGTAAACTAGAAATGAGGGATTTACTGACTGCCAGAGATGACCAAGCAGCAGTCAGGCTGCCTCAACCTGCAGCTCACTGTGGTCTAAAACTCATCACAGGTACACAGGCACAGCAGAGAACGTGACTGACCCAATGAACCAGCCCATGATCCAGTCAACACCTCGTGGAAACTCCTATTCACCACACTGACAGGTCTCTTCACAGCAACTAAACACTGCCTGTATGTCAGCATGGACAGGTAAGGATTATCTATGGTTTGGGTCAGAAGGGACCTCAAAGATCATCTTGTTCCACCCCTCACTATGGGCAGGGACACCTTCCACTAGACCAAGTTGCTCCAAGTCCCATTCAACCTGGCCTGGAACACTTCCCAGGATGGGGCAGCCACAGCTGCTCTGGACAAGATATGGATAACATTATGCACAAGGTCAGTCTCCCACATGCACATAGTTTCTTTGCAGAAGTTATTTCTGGCAGGAAAAGGCTTCCAAATCCAAGGATACTTCCAGCAGATGCAACTGCTGCTAATCCAGAGAAAGAGTCTTCTGACACCACTGTACCACAGCATACCACAACACCTTCCAAAGTCAACACTAAAATGATTGACCCAGGTGTCACTTCTGCATGATCTCAAAGCCACATTTAATTTCTAGCCTCTTAACTGCCATCTCTTACAACCACCACCAGTTTGGAAGCCATTAGTTATGTGCCTCAACAGTGAAGGAACATACATGGCAAGAAAACCTTAAGGAGCTAGTAAAAATCACTACAATACAGTGACTGCCAACATAAACACCCTATCTCCATTGAATGCCCAAACTGGTGACCTGCCTTCAAAATCTGATCATTATTTCAAACACAGGTGAGCCACATCAACCACAATATTAACAGTGGTGAGACCTGGAGGAACAGTTGCTGGGATTTGTGGCTCCTCTAGGATGCTCAATGAAGAGACCAAGTCCTCAAAGACTGGTTTTATCAATGTGTTTCAGTTTGCATGAAACCCTCACATACAACCTGTTCTCACCCCTACACCAAAAGGCCAACAGGTGACCAAACAGAAATATTGGTCTGCTATACGTTTTATATATTTATTCCTATTTTATTCCTATTTCAGCTTTCCAAGAACACACAGGTACTTCCCACACAAAAAGTATAGAGCTGTCCACACTAATAACCACAAAAGGAGCTTTCATATCCATCTTCACTCTTGTGACAGCGAATTCAGTGCAGCTTCAGTCTGAGGTAAACCACATCAGCCTTCAAAGCTATCACCGGAACCATGGGAATGATGATTTCTATCTCTGCAAGCTCCCACTTGCCCATGCAGAGACAAGACAGATGTGAGTGGTGTTTGAAAGACCATCTTCCCAATGAGAAAGCTTCCATAGAAACACGGTCCTAGTGTTGCTTCCTCTCAGCAGGATTTCCTGCTCTCCTGGTTTCAGCAGGGATAGAGCTAATTTTCTTCTCAGTAGCTGATACAGTGGTGTGTTTTGGATTTAGCTCGAGAATAATGCTGATAACACACTGATGCTTTTGGTGCCAAGCTGTGTTTATCCTAAGTCAAGGTCTTTTCAATGTCACAGGCTCTGCCAGTGAGGAAAAGCACAAGAAGCACAGGGGGAGCATGACCAGAACAGGTGACCTGAACCAGCCAGAGGGATATTTCATACTACAGAACATATACAAACCAGGGAGAGTTGACCAGGAGGGGCTGATCACTGCTGGGAGACAGGCAGGGCATGGGTCAGCGGGTGCTGAGCAACTGTACCGGGCATCACTTGACCTTCCTGGGGTTTATTCCTCTCTCTCTTTTTCCCATTAGTACCATATCTTACTTTATTTCCATTTTTGCACTATTCTTATCTCAACCCTGGGGTTTTACATTTTTCTGACTGGCCTCCCTATCCCACTGCAGGGCTGAGTGAGCAGCTGCATGGGATCATCAGATTTCAAGCACTCTCTTGAGTTTACAAGTGTCTATTCAGCTCCACAAATCAACATCCCAAAAGTTTATTTAAGAAGTCACCCATGTCAGGGAAAAAACATAAGCAAATGGAGACTTCAGCACCAGTAACTGCTTCATTAGCAGCTTTTACTCCCCAATTTAAAGAAAGCTTTGGAATAAGGAAAAGATGGAAATAAGATACAAATAAGGACTTCCAAAGAAAGATGCTGGAACAAAACAGCTGACAGCACAGCTGTCAATGATGAGAAGCAGGAGAAAACATCTCCACATACCCTGACACTGTACTCAACTCCAGCTTCTCCCAGAACTGAAACTTCCACAAGGAACTGAAATCCACTCCAGCTATTTATCACTACCAAAAATGAATACACACTATAAAAATCTTCTATTCAGACTATGAATGTCAATACACTAATCTTGTCAGTATCTAACTAAAGTCCCATGAAGTGCTTTGGCCTGATTCAATCAACTCATCTTTAACAAACTCTATGTCCTTGCCTTACAAGAGTCAAAAGTGCCTGAAATAGTTCAGGCCCATTGTGCTCAGCTAGTGACAATTTATCTCACCTCCCAAAAATGTTTGGGATTATTTTACTTGCAACACAAATTTAAACAAACATGAGGCCAGCTGTTGACAAAATGAAGTCACAGCTTGCACATAACCTGGAAACACGTGAGTACGAGTTAGATGGGCATCATCAGAGGCAACAGGAACCTGCATCAGTCAGAGCACTCGAAATACAACTATTACTGGGCATACAACAGAGGAAATGACACATGGAAGGAAGGGAAATGTTATCAAAATCCACAGTCTCAGCAACAGCTAATCTTGGCACACACAGACTGGCTTGGACCTTCCCACAACTTCCAACTTCCACTTGCGCCAGCTCCGTGCAGGACTGACAGGGACTGGGAGAGTCCAACGCTGCCAAATCATTGAAAGCGGATTACAAAAGCTCACGTCAGATGGCTCCAGGACACGACTGACTTCAAACACCACCACAAACAATCACTTGAAGGAACATCCCAGGGGAAGGAGAGCTTGTTTTGTGAGCAGTTCCCACAGGATCACCCGTGTTTGAACTCAGCTGGACTCCAGATCCTGCTTAGTCAGACAAATGCCTAATTACTAGTGAGAGACTTCACTTTTGTTCTGAAGGAGGTTTCATTTTGGCACGTGTGTCAGGAACAAGAGCTGTCCTCTCAGTGCTGCACTCCATTTCAGGCCAGGACAGAACACAAGTGGGAGAGCTTGGGGAGATGTTGGTCTGTTATTACTAGTTTTTCTCAAGTCCACCATTCAGTCATCTTGAAGTCTGTTTGTTTGGATGACCTTCTTCCACTCCAGCTGTGTACAACAGGACAATTCTGTGACAGAACTCAAGTTCTATCACAAGCTAAAGGCTACCTACTGCTAGAAGACAGTTTCAGGTGTTCAACCTTTAACAAATTCCTTCAGTGTTTTATTACAAATACTCAGAATATGCAAACACAAGTTGGTTGGGCTCAGGTGCGTTTTTGTGATCATCTCAATGAATGACTTTGGAAATATCTTACAGTAGCTGCATTTAATTCTTAAGGAAAATCAATGTGAAGGCAAGAAGATGACTCTGGGAATTCATACCAACAATGCACAGGGAATTTTCACATGCTTATAGAATCACAGAATGACAGGATCATTCAGGGTCTGAAGAGACCTTTAAGATCATCAAGTCCAACCATTAACCTGTCCCTGCTGTAACCTCTAAACCCTAACACACAATGATTTTCATTTTAGGATCCAAAAGAACTTTCATGTAGAATCACAAGGGCTGGAAAAGACCTTTAAAGGTCATCTAGTCCAAATCCCCTGCCATGGGCAGGGACACCTTCCACTAGCCCAGGTTCTCTAAGCCCTGTC